CGTCTGTCAGCGAGGAGAGAGACGAGCTGCAGGAGATCCTGGAGGGTCTGAGGCAGGAGAAGCAGCAGCTCCAAGCAGAGCTGGAGGACAGGATGCAGATGGTAAATTAGTGCTATTCTAAAGTGACCGAGAACAGGAAGAGCAGCCTGGAAACTTGATCACATTTTCTCATTCATCTGCAGATCTCAGCCATCCAGGACAAGCTGAGTCAGCTGGAACAGCTGAACATGCAGCAGCAGCAGCCTGAGAGAGGAGAGCAAGAAGCCAAGCTGCAACAAGACGTAAGTCCCAGTCATTTTCTGCTTGTTTCGACTGTGGATACTTACATTAGTATGAAAGCTGTGGGGAAGCTAGCCTGACCACCTACCACTAACACACATTTATTGTTACAAATGCACGTCGGCATTCCCTGCATAATTGTATCCTAACCTCTGCAGCCTTGCCAACAAGGAAGAAGTGCATGTAGATTTACTGAATGCTCTCGGTTTTTGATCCTCCAGCTGGTGGTTTTTGACAATTTTTCTAAACATGGATGAGCCCCACTTTCAAAAACTTTTCCATTGGTCTAAATGGGTTCCATCCCAGTTAGCACTGTTGTTAGCTGTGTTGCATGCTCACACCTCGACCTGTTCTGTTTTTGTCAGATACTGCAGCTTAAAGAGCAAGTTCAAATGCACACAGAAAGACGCGCTCAGGCTGAAAGTGAAGCAGATGCAGTGCAGCAGGTGAGTCTTTGCTCTCATTTGTTTCCTCTTTTTAGAACTGTAATTTTGGATTATGATAATGCAGTCCACAGCTCCTCTAATCTGCATGCCGAATTATCCTTGGTCAAGACACTGAACATAGTGTGCGGATTACTCAGACGTGTGATGTAAGCACCAGTCCATTTATGATTAAAAGCTGAGGACTGAGTTAGAGAGTGCTGATACTTCCTGTCTTGTATGGCAGGGACACAAACATGGTGCTCTGTATATTTAGGTGGACTGGAGGGAATCTCATATTTTGGCTAGCTTGTCAGAAGTGACATTCTTTAATAGAGAGCGTCTACGCAGATGAAAAGCTGGAATGTCAATTACACGCAAGAATAAATCGCTGGCATAAAGTTGAGGATGGCTAAATGCTGACTGATTTTTATTTTTATTTTCATTTCCAGTTGCTCAGCGAAGCGAATGCAACCATCTCTGCTCTCAGAGAGCAGCTCAGCAGGTCAGAGCCGAGCACCAGCGGGGCTAAGGAGCTGCTGTCGTCACGACTGCAAGACTCCACCACACAGCTTGAGGTAACGGCTTCACTGACTGCTCTGCAGCTCAAATGTCTTTCTAGCATGCAGTGTGATCCTAACTCTGATGCTACCTGGTTCTTGTCATTTTAGGAGTCCTTCAAAAGGTTCCAGCAATTCATAGACACTTGTTGTAGTTATGACAATATAACTCAGGACAAGGGCCTGAGGGAGCGGCGTTCCCTGAAGCATCCTCTTCCCAAGGCCACCAAGGATGCCTATGATGCAGTCTTTCAGCTGGGAC